TCAATATGATGAAGTCTTGATATGTTTAGTCATAATATCCGTAGTGGCATTATTAGTAAATTTATTGTCAGCATTCGTCATATGTGTTGTCTTAGTCGTTCTCTTATTAGTTGTTTTATTATTCGTCTGATTAATATGATTCATCTTCGTATTCTTCTTATTACTCGTATTAAACTATTAGTCGTATTAGTCTTTAGTAGTATCAAAAGTATGCGTCTTCTTCTTCTTCGCCCTCCTCATCTACCTCCTCCGCATCCTCCTCCTCCTCCTCATCATCATCCTCCTCCTCGTCCTCCTATGCCTCCTCCTCTGCCTCCTCCTCCTTCTCCTCCTCCTGCTCGTCCTCCTCCTCCTCCATCTCCTCCACCTCCTCCTCCGCCTCCGCCTCCGCCTCCGCCTCCGCCTCTGCCTACGCCTCCGCCTCCTCCTTCTCCTCCTCCATCCCTCTTCCTTATAAATCACTTCTCCCTGTCGCACTCCGGATTAGTTTTAGGGCTGTCCGGGCGTTTCGCCTGAGACTTCCTCACAATGACCCTGAAGCTTAAAAAATGGCAAAATGGCAACAGTTTCACATTTGTTTAGCAATGTGCAAGAGCTTCACGGAGTGAGGGCGGGTCGTTTTCAAAATGTGACTCTCGCCTGATCGCCGCGCACATTCGTCGTAAAAAAATGCCAGAGCTTCACGGATTGAGGGCGGCTCCTTTTCAAAATCTGGCTCTCGCCTGATCGCCGCGCACTTTCTATTTCAAAATTTCAAAACTCTGAAAGAGCTTCACGGATTGAGGGCGGTTCCTTTTCAAAATGTGGCTATCGCCTTAGCGCCGCGCACCTTTTTTTTTTCAAAGTGTGGCTCTCGCCTTAGCGCCGCGCACATTATGTTTAAACATTTGCAAAAGTTTCACGGATTCCCATGATCAACGTACCAAAAATGGCGTCTTGGAAGGATTCAGGATTATGCAGGTGCAACAGTTATGTTGTTTCGCGGTGTTGAAGTCCCAAAATGGCGCTCTGGCACGAGTCCAGATCGTCAAGACGCAGCAGTCGGTTTGATCCGTGGCGTTGAAATCCCGAGAGCAATGTCTTGGCATGCTTCAGGATCTTCAAACTGTTGTCTTCCACCGAGGCAGTTCCCTCAATGGAAATGAACCGTTGTAGATGCCCATGAAGAGGGAGCTTGGAAAGAGGGTTAATTCCAACATCGTTGATGACTCTTGCGTTTGCACTGGTCCTCCTCCTCCTCCTCCTCCGCCTCCGCCTCCGCCTCCGCCTCCTCCTCCATTTCCTTTTCCTGGTCCTTATCCTGGTCCTGTTCCTGGTCCTGCTCCTGTTCCTGTTCCTGTTCCTTGTCCTTTTCCTTTTCCGTTGCCTTTTCCTTCTCATTTTTCCTTTTTCATTGTCATGTTCATTTTCCTGCTCCTTTTTCTTGTCCTTTTCCTGTTGCTTTTCCTCCTCCTCCTTCTCCTCCTCCTCGTCGTCGTCGTCGACGTCCCCCTTCAGGGTCGGCGGCGCCCGCCGTAAGGCCTTCGCAATTTAAGAATGTTTCTAGTTCGAGCGCGCGCGTGGCAGCCCCTGGGGGTCCGCGGACACAAAGGCCCCCGGCAAGGTCCTGGCAGGTTCGAATCTGAGACGCCGGAACTCCTGGGCGCGGCCTCGGGGCCCCCCCGAGCGCCCCAATGAGGCGCCAAAAGGGTGGCACGCCCCGCGGCCTCAGGCCAACAGCGTTGCAAGATCGCCCACGTTGGTCCCAAGACGGCTCTTGAAGCGCCCCACACGCTCCAGGAGGGTTCCAAGAGGACGTCGAGAGGCCCCGAAGACAAAAAAAACAAAACAAAAAAAACAAAAAAACAAAAAAAAAAAAAAAAAAATGATTTTGAATGTGGGTTTTCGAGCGATTTCGGCGGTATCGCCTTTTCGAGTTGCCGACCGCCCTGGACGGCCCAAGAGGCTCAAAGATCGCTCCGAAACGGCACCAAAAGCCTCCAAGAGGGCCCCAAAATGACCCAAGATGGCTCAAACACGGCCCAAGAGGCCTCCAAGACGGCCCCAGGATGGCCCCAAGAGGGGGCCCAGAGGGGAAGCCCGAGCAGACATTTGGGACTCTCGGCCCCAAGGTACCCAGGAAGCTCAGAGAGGCCCCCAAGAGCCCTCGAGAGGACCCAAGAGGCCCCCAAGAGGCTCCTAAGACCCTCAACAGGCCCCCAGGAAGCCCCAAGAGGCCTCCAAGAAGCCCCCACCCAAGAGGCCCCCCAGAGGCCTCAAGACTGCTCCCCAGAGGCTCCCGAGAGCCCTCGGAAGAGACCCCAAGCAGCATTCATGAGAACTCTGACCCAATCCAGGTACGTCTCGAAACTCTAGTGGGGCTCTCTTGAGCCATCTTGGCGCCCTCTGGGGCAGTATATTGGCCCTCTTCGACAGAGTGCGAGCCACGTCTGTAAAGATCTCCTCGAAGAAAGTCCTGCCTGCCCCATCGTTCCCCATGGGTGCGAGCACACCACCACGC